TATATATATATATATATATATATATTTATTTTTTATTATTTTTTTGTGCTAATTAACCTTAAAGATTTTGTCATATACCAATTACACGGCTCTCTTTTTCAATCTTCATCTTTTGTGTTCCCAATTATCGGTTGTATTCATCAGAATTGTCTTGTATTTGCAGGTCATAATGGTGGCTGGGGATCACAGGGTTGGTATATTTGCCAAAGAGCGAATTTCTGCGGGGGAAGAATTATTTTATGATTATCGATATGAAGCTGACAGGGCTCCAGCCTGGGCCAAGAAGCCTGAGGCATCTGGTGCCAAGAAAGAAGATGGGACTGCTCCCTCAGGTGGCCGTGCCAAGAAGCACACTTAATCGGGACTTTTGTCTGAAGATATCAAGATTCATTTTTTCTCTTCCTCAATTTCCTGGTAGAAAAACATTCTGCCTACCTGAACGAACTTCTTTAATCAATTTCGCTGCTGGAGATGGAAAAAAAAAAAAAAAACAAGGGCAAGGAAAAAAAGTAATATAGGCCGTTCAATCTCCATGGAAACTTAAAAACTGATTCTTTTTGTTCTTGGCTACCAATTACTACTAAGTATACACCAAAGAGGGAAAAAAAAACAGATGTAGTCCAATCTTTTACGGCCTCGGTCTTCCAATTGAGATTTTTATGTAAAATGTCTCTACTTTAGACCATTCATTCTTTCAGCAAGAAACAAATCTGAGGGCGTTGATTTTACTTGATTTATTCTGTTCAAGAATTGTTATTTGTTTTGTGTAAAGAAAATCCTTTCTTGTTGACTTATATATAGCTCATTGTATTGACTTTGTAGCTTTTGTGGATACAAGATAAGATAGGGTGGTCATTTTTCTACAACATTGTAGCTTTGGTAGATCCAAGAGCCTCTAGTGCTTTTGATCAATGCCTTCTGTACTGGTTTGCCCGAACATTTCTTCTCTCATTACTAGTGATAAACCAATGATTTGTGTCACAATACTTGATTTTTTTGAAAGAAAAATTAATTGTAATGGGACTATTGCCATCTTTCTCATGCTATATTAGTTTGACGACGATGATATCTACGAGTAGACATGGGAAAACTTGGTGCGGCGCTCGGTTCTGGGCCAAGGGTTGGCCGGCCCTAATCCAGCCTGAGCATATTCATTGGCCGGTTCGGTAAACCAGTGGTTCCGGGACGGTTCGGAGAGTTGCCATTTCTGAGCTGGCTCGGTTCACTAAAAAAATAAAAAAATAATAAAAAAATTGAAAAACAAAGAGCCGAACCGTCGGTTTTCGGTTCGAAATTAGTCTGACGGTTCAAAAAGTATATATATGTTGCCCGTAACTGCCTCGGTCAACCACGGGCTTGGTTCGAGCTTGTTGACCACAACCACTTCAAGGCCGGTTCGAACAACATATATATACATTTTTAGGTTCAACCGTCAGTGAAATGAGCATGATATTTATCGTCGGTGAAGTTGGCTATAATAGAATGACGACCATTATATCTATGAAATATTAAACTGTAATTGATAGATAAAAGAATTTTTTTCTATATAAAATTTAATTAATGGAAAAAAATATGAGAGAAAAACTATATAATCAAGTGATATTGCTGAAGAAAAAATGAGAGATAAAATTAAAGTAATATAAAATGACTATGACATATCGTATCACAACTTACGATGTATTTCCTCATAAATTTAATTTTTTATTTTAAATTTTAATAAAAGTATTTGGCTGTATTTAATAAAATATTTGTATATATGTGGGGTTTTACACATAGAATAACATGGAAACATGAAATTTCCAAATTAGCTATAAAATCTTCTACTTACCAAATAATTATTATACAAACAACTAATATCTGTTAGTCAAACCATAAATTATAATACGCTATCCACTAATACAATCTCCTATCCACTGTTAGCTAATGCCAAACAGAGGCTTATGTAGGAAGGTAATATTCGTTGTTGGTCAAAACATACTCTAAAGCATATATGAAAATGGTTGATATATGCCAAAAATTTCAATATTTAATATCATGCCATATATCTTCCAAATGAAAAGTTATGTAGGAAGGTGGTATTCGTGAGTCTATTCATCGCGTATAGGCTTTAAGTTAAGGGCATCGTGGCCTAACCATCGAGGTGAAGTCAGGACCCTCCCTCCCATTCGCAGGACTATGAGTTCTTGTCATCGAAGTCGAGCCACTTCGTCCCTTTAAACACAAGTGCATGATGGAATCATCAAAGATTTGACCTTCTCGAACTCTGTCTGTAACTCACTCCTTCTTTGGCACTTCCCAGTCTACATCAGATTAGTGCCAAGACAAAAACTAGATCCATAGGGAAACATATCTCATCACCTAGAAAGGTTTTACTGAAGAAGGTTCTTTAGCCGAAATCAAAATAAATAAACAAGGCTTTTAGCCTAGCATATTAATCTTGAAAAATTATGTAGGAAGGTGATATTCGTTGTAGTGGTCAAAACCTACTCTAAAGCATGCATTGAAATAGTTGATATATGCCAGAAATTTAAATATTCAATATCATGCCATATATCTTTCAAATGAAAAGTCAAGATTCCGTTCATGCTAACCTTGACTAGCAAACAATTTTAATAGGCATGAATGTTCTTTCCAGTTGTTGTAAAGAAGAGATTAATTTGTTGGTATTTGAGTTTTTAATTTATTAAGTTGAAATAGATATAGCTTGTTAATTTATTAGTGTGTTTAATTTCCTACTATCTTGTATTTTATTTGTAAGCAAATTATTAATAAAATCAATTCATTGTAATACATCAAATTCTACAAAACACGTTCCTACTTGCTATTATTTAAATCAATATGTGGTTGGTTCAATAATTAAGCGAACACTTTATAAATTACCAATGTTCTAAAAGTCAATAGGCGCCCGCTAGGCGCTCGACCAGCGCCTAGCGCCTAGAGCGACTAGGCGGGGCCTAGACGGCGCCTAGTCGGGGCCTGGAAATCAATATTAAATACCTTATTTTTTTATTTATTTTAACTACCTACAAAATAAAATTATCTCAACTTATAATATATCGACACACTTAAGTCCCAATAATCAAATTAATTTATTTTAAAAAAAACATGAGAACAAATAATGTAATTAATATTTATAATATTAAAAAATAAAAAAAAACTGAAAAATTACCGCCGAGCCCGCCTAGGAGCGCCTAGGTCCGCCTATGCCCGCCTAGGCGCCGCCTAACCGCCTGGCCGTCGAGCCCGCCAAGGCCGCCTAGGAGCGCCTAGGGCCGCCTAGGCCCGCCTAGGCGCCGCCTAGCCGCCTGGCCGATTTTTTCTGCCGATTTGTGCAAATCGGAGGCGCCCGGGCACCGCCTAGCGCCTAGGCGCCGCCTAGGCGGGCGCCTAGGCCGATTTTTAGAACAGTGTAAATTACAAATATATATATGAGACGATTTAAACATTAGACAGACCAACCCGGACACCATAAGTTGTATCATAATTTGACGTGGCTATTAACTTCTAGAAATCAATATTAATAAGCCGGAAATTAAAAATATCTATATTTTTTTTTGGTACAGGGACCTTCCGGTTTCTGGATCTGTAGAGGAACCGACTAATCTGGAATCGAGCCGAGTAGGACCACAAGGGCGGCAAAGCTCTCCCTCAAGAGTTTTAACACTGCTGCATTCCCAAGGCTCGAACACGAGACCACTGGTTAAGCTGAAAGTAAAAAATATTTGAAGAGAAATATAATGATATAGATATATTTGATTTGTTCGACTTCCTTATTAGAAAAAACTAGCACTCTCTTACCGGTTTACATGCACTTACGATGTCAATATTAATTAAATTACACATTAAATAAAGTTTAAATTCAATAATATAAAAAAAAATTAATTAATATAAATTATTTTCTTTATTTATAGAATTTTTCATTGTACACGAAATTATAAATTACTCTTTGTATAACAATAACTCTATCATTTACGATTGATAATTTTTAAAATCATGATCAGTATGACTCATTATGGCCGAAACTGTAACTCATCATTAGTATATTTTATACAAAACTTATATAGAGTCATTTGATGGTTTTCATATGTCATCACCTAATGTATTGACATCTGCACAAAGTATATTTATTGTACGATATATGCCAATACACTATTTGTGAATAAATGTGGATGACTCCATATAAGTCGTTGCATTCGAATTGTTCCATAGCAAAACTCACATTTTATATTAAACTTTTACAATATAATAACACACATCTTAATAAACATAACTCATAACGAAATTTCATAAGTTTTACATTTTAAAAAAATAAATTTTATATAGGTATTATTATATTACTAGTATTAAATGTAACACTTTTAGCTGGAATTTTTTTCTTATCTTACTTTTTTCACAAACATGAGTTTGAGACACAATAGAAAATAACATCGCAATAAATGGCGCAAAAATCACAAACTAGCATGTAAAGTCAGAGCATGGAGCAAACTTTCAAAGGGTACATGATGATTCGAATTGATTTTTTGTACCAGCGATCGACTTTTTAAAACACCAGTCATTTTTTTTTTTT